TACACTGATGACCCGCTCACCACATGACCAGAACCTCATATAACCTTAACATAGGGTAGAGTTATGTTCGTCCGTCTATTTATTACTGTCTAAACTGACCTGCTCCCGTCATGCCCAGAACCTCCTATAACCTAGGGTAGAGTTGTGTTCGTCCGTCTATTTATTACTGACTACACTGACCCGCTCACCACATGACAAGAAGCTCCTATAACCTAGGGTAGAGTGGTGTCCGTCCGTCTATTTATTACCGTCTACACTGACCCGCTCACCACATTACCAGAACCTCCTATAACATAGGGTCGAGGGGGGATCGTCCAACTATTTTTTACTGTCTACACTGACCCGCTCACCCCATGACCAGAACCTCCTATAACCTAGGGCAGAGTGGTGTCCGTCCGTCTATTTATTACCGTCTACACTGACCCGCTCACCACATTACCAGAACCTCCTATAACATAGGGTCGAGGGGGGATCGTCCAACTATTTTTTACTGTCTACACTGACCCGCTCACCCCATGACCAGAACCTCCTATAACCTATAGGGGAGAACGGTGTTCATCCGTATATTTATTACTGTCGACACTGATGACCCGCTCACCACATGACCAGAACCACATGACCAGAACCTCGTATAACATAGGGTAGAGATATGTTCGTCCGTATATTTATTACTGTCCACACTGACCCGCTCACCACATGCCCAGAAGCTCCTATAACCTAGGGTAGAGTGGTGTCCGTCCGTCTATTTATTACCGTCTACACTGACCCGCTCACCACATTACCAGAACCTCCTATAAACTAGGGTAGAGTGGTGTTCGTCCGTCTCTTTATTACTGTCTACACTGACTCGCTCACCACATGACCAGAACCTCCTACAACCTAGGGTAGAGTGGTGCTCGTCCGTCTAACTATTACTGTTTACACTGACCCGCTCATACCATGACCAGAACCTCCTATAACCTAGGGTAGAGTGATGTTCGTCCGTCTATTTATTACTGTCTAAACTGACCCGCTCACCACATTACCAGAACCTCCTATAACATAGGGTCGAGTGGTGATCGTCCATCTATTCTATTTATTACTGTCTACACTGACTCGCTCACCACATGACCAGACCCTCCTATAACCTAGGGTAGAGTGGGGTTCGTCCGTCTATTTATTACTGTCCACACTGACCCGCTCACCACATGACCAGAACTTCCTATAACCTATAGGGTAAAGTGGAGTTCGTCCGTATATTTATTACTGTGGTAGAGTGGTGGTCGTCCGTCTATTTATTACTGTCTACACTGACACGCTCACCACATGACCAGAACCTCCTATAACCTAGGTTAGATTGGTTTTCGTCCGTCTATTTATTACTGTCTAAACTGACCTGCTCCCGTCATGCCCAGAACCTCCTATAACCTAGGGTAGAGTGGTGTCCGTCCGTCTATTTACACATGTCAGTTGAAACACTTAAACGTACACTTACGTTAAACAATAGGTATTGAGTGAGTTGTTGACCTCTATCTCGCGTTATCTGGGGATGCAGGGCTCTCTCTGTTCAATAAACCACTTGAACAAGGAAGTTTCTCAACTTGTAGTCTTTTTTTCCGTAATGGTATTTTGGGACACAGTATATGCCTGTGTTGTATCAAGTGTACTTGAAAACCAATTCACCGCAATTAAATATGTAATGTCAGGATAAAAAAACTATCGTTCTACTACAAATACTATGGGGACCGCGCGTTCACATGCAACGGCAGAGCTTTCAACGTTGAATTAAAAACATGTTACACCACGGAATTAGATTAGTTATCTAAGTCCGTGGTTACACCCATATAATAACATTGCTATTCGTAAATATTTAAACCCCGTCATTGTGTTTCGTAAATATTTTTGTCGTCGATTGTACCATAACAATATGGGGAGTGATCAAGTGACAAATGTTTTCTTTTCTCATACATTCTCACACTTGTATATACCGCGGACCGATCGGTCCTCCAGGGCAAACACATTTAATTGTGTGAGGTATATGTCTGTATGCTTATTCACTACAGTTAGGCTTCATTAAAACTGCATGAGTATAGGAGAAACCCTCGAAACTTTCTGCCTTTCTGTGTTATTTGAAAGCAAATTGAGTCCATAGGCGTTTTTGCGCTATTACCACGGAATATATATACTAAAATGTATCATGTATGAAAAGTTAACAAATCAGAAACAGGTAGATCTGTACCTCCTTCAGGCTTTCGTTATCAATCTTTAGATGCTTTACACAAAGCAAAGATCAAAAACGTCTGAAGGTTGATACTGAGGCGCTAATGCTTAACCGATCTACGTGTTTCTGATTTGTTTACTTTTCACATATGATATTTAAACAAAAATCATATCAAAATGACTGGAATTGTCGCTTAGATTGTCACCTACTCAGTGTTTCTTTATGAGACTGTTTACGGCTAGCTTTATGAGACATACCGTGTCACGTCAGGATGACATCGTAATTTTAACGTCACACTATTAATATGTTTACATGTACATCCATATTAATATTTGCTCTGCATCCTTTCGTTGCATAGCTTTGAGAAGGCAAATGTTATTATGAGACTATACCAATATTTGCTATTGTAGCGTCATCAATCTCTATTGTGATAACGTAAGTAACAATGAAAAGTACGAGACGTTTTCACACCATTCACATCACTGTATCATAAAATATGTTAATAGAAATGTATGCTGCACAAGCAACAATTTAAACACTCTACAGTTATAGTATTCTGTGAAAGCTCAGATTTAATCATTTAATGTTAGCACATTTATGAGTTTCTTAACTTAAAATACATGTAACCATAAGATCATTATGGTTTGTTGTCTGTGTAGTGTTGTTCTTTGGCGTGACCCTTCTCTAGTTTGATATCATGTTTGTTTTAAGTAATACATTTCATATTTTCACGCAAAAGAAACTTTGTCTATTTAAAAAAAATAGAGCATTAAATGATTATTTTGCATGTTCCACATATGAAAAAACAAAACATAAATTCACGCGTGTTTATTTTATCCTTTGAAAGGCTCAATGTCCGTATGTACATATTAATATTATCTGGATTGAAAAAAGAATTGCAAAAGCTATAGCTTTTTTAATTGTTACTTACTCTGTACATGATGTTAAAGTTCTCTATATCTAGCTCTGTAGATATAGCTACAAGTCCATCTGGTACAGTGCTAAAAGCGTGTTTCCCTTCCCCGATATTGTCCTGATCGACGTTGATAAATTTTCTCACACTAATACACCCCCTGATAGGTCCCTTGTACAACTTGGTCAAATTTTTATCATCAGTTTATATATTTTTTCTTCTTTTAACGTCCCCTTTTAACCCCGATACATTTCACCTTTCATGAATAATTATTGTTTTGTGATAGATGTATACATTTCTCACATGGCCGCCCGCCTGGGTAATTTGTGATAGATGTATATATTTCTCACACGGCCGCCCGCCTGGGTAAGTTGTGATAGATGTATATATTTCTCACACGGCCGCCCCCCTGGGTAATTTGTGATAGATGTATATATTTCTCCCACGGCCGCCCGCCTGGGTAATTTGATATAGATGTATACATTTCTCACACGGCCGCCCGCCTGGGTATTTTGTGATAGATGTATACATTTCTCACACGGCCGCCAGCCTGGGTAATTTGTGATAGCTGTATACATTTCTCACACGGCCGCCCGCCTGGGTAATTTGTGATAGCTGTATACATTTCTCACACGACCGCCCGCTTGGGTAATTTGTGATAGATGTATACATTTTTCACACGGCCGCCCGCCTGGGTAATTTGAGATAGATGTATACATTTCTCACACGGCCGCCCGCCTGGGTAATTTGTGATAGATGTATACATTTCTCACACGGCCGCCCGCCCGCCTGGGTAATTTGTCCAGGATGTTGAAACAGTTACTGCTTGCAGTGGGTTTTTTTTGTTAGCATATACTAACACAACTATTTAATTACTTTATACTCTTAATTGTATAAAATGTGGAAATATAACTTTTTAATCCTGTTTATGTAAATATCAATTACCATATTTCGATTCTCAATGTAAGCAAACAATTAATATACATGTACATGTGCCTTTGTCTTAATCTTCAGTATTGCGTTGCAATAACATTAGGACCAGTCATAACAAACAAGGCATCACAGTTATTCATTAAACCTACATTAAGTGTAAGGTAAGTGTATGGTTGGACTTCTACCAGTTAACATAACTGTTTGTTTCTTTCTGTTTTCCTTCATGTTTCCCTATTTTAATAATCAATTTTTAATGTTTTTAATGTTTTAAGTTATAAGCCATGTACATGTTCAAATATTGTTTTATTTATATAAAGTTGTATTTAACTGGGTATCAGTTTCTGAAATATAGATATACATATCTACAGATTATATAATATGATACAATACATAAATGTGTGTATACGTGTTGGTTTGTGTGATAAGCTGGTCTCCAGTATTTGCTGAGCTGTGGAATTAAAGGGAAATGAAAACAATAACATGTTAAATGCACACACATACACACAATCTTATGAACCTGTAGCATCTTTAATGTCAAGTTTCCATTAGAAAGTATGTACATATAGACGACCGATTGATATATAAACAATCAGTATAAGACAAATAAATACTAATGATAGAGAAAGAAGAAAGCGTTTGTTCTTATTTGGAGAGAGAGAGAGAGAGAGAGAGAGAGAGAGAGAGAGAGAGAGAGAGAGAGAGAGAGAGAGAGAGAGAGAGAGAGAGAGAGAGAGAGAGAGAGAGAGAGAGAGAGAGAGAGAGAGAGAGAGAGAGAGAGAGAGAGAGAGAGAGAGAGAGAGAGAGAGAGAGAGAGAGAGAGAGAGAGAGAGAGAGAGAGAGAGAGAGAGAGAGAGAGAGAGAGAGAGAGATTAGCTAAGATTTATTTTTCATATGTGGTGTGACTCGCAGGAAATGTGACGTTAGCGGATGTTTTAATTGTCGGATGTACGCTAATACATAGAAGGATCTAAAATGATGGGAGTGAAATATACCGAGAAGGTGGGGCACGTCATACGGGTCTTTACAAGTTAGTGGAAGTGAAATATACCGACATTACTTCTTGGTGGCCATCGAGGCTGGCGTTTCACATGTTGTACAACCATTATTTCTTACACGGCATCTGACCTCCTCCCTGATGGAGGGAGTGACTATCGTCCTGATCGGCATAGTTCTGACCCTCGGACAGCCCGGACTCTCCCTATGTGAGTATTAAAGTCAAGTGATTAAAAACATAGTGCGATACGTGCCGGTCACGTCGATACGTATGTCCCGTGGACCAACTGTAATAACCAGACAATGGATTTCTGTCTTGTTAAAATACAGATACAAAATAAGTAGTTAGGCAAAGTAATACTTATAGTCGTTATTTTGAACGATACATTGTCCGAAAATATCAGTATGTTGCTGTTTGTATACTGTCATCAGTCCGGTTTAAACTAGTTGTACTCATTTTTACACTATTTTATCACAATGGTAATACGACTTATTAGTTTTGCGTGTGTGTATGTGTGAGGTGACTGGATCAATTTGAAATGAAATCGAAAACGAAGCAGAAACGCAAGTATTAAACTCAATGATGTAAGGTCAACCCTTGTCGAAATTGTCTAGCAACATGAACAAAACTTCAAGGTTGACAACCTTGAGCTACTGAACATACCTGAGTTATTACAAAGATGATTGACTGAATTAATGCAATGATAATTTCTTTTAAAAAAACACTCTTGGCATTTTCGTTGCTGAAACATTTTGTTATACCGGTGGGTTTTATAACCCCGAGTAGTTATTGATCCTTGTTATAACCCCTAATGCATAAACGTGTCTTAACACATCGAAATAACATTAAGCATATACATTTGTACTTCCTGCATTAACTGCGAAGGTGTATTATACCTTAATTAATTCAGTAACACATGCTATAATGGGGGCGCCTATTGTAGCACAAATGAATCACATTTTCATGTAAACGAATCTAACAAAATGTATATAATCCAAATATCAAAATAGGTACCACATATGCGAATCGACTGATTTTGGCCCCCTGTGGAATATGGAGTGGGTTGTTGTTTCTTCCTGTTTCTCTGTTTATGAAACATTAAAGAAACCAAGGATGAACCTGCTGTATCCAACTGCAATTATATCGTAAAAGGCTACTTATGTGGTAAAAGGCTACTTATGTGGTAAAAGGCTACTTATATCGTAAAAGGCTACTTATGTGGTAAAGGCTACTTATGTGTTAAAAGGCTATTTATGTGGTAAAAGGCTACTTATGTGGTAAAAGGCTATTTATGTGGTAATAGACTAAAAGGCTACTTATGTTGTGTGGTAAAAGGCTACTTATGGGGGATACTCTGCAGAATCGGAGGTTTTCTTCTGTGTCTTATACGGAGAGAATACATACTAGTGTCGTGTTTGGTTGATCAATTTTTGTCAGCAACCCAGATTTATTTGAAAGATTGTAAACATATCCGTGTACTTATAATAAGTGTTAGTTACGTTTATGATGTTACCATGGCAACCTTCATTATCAAAATATGAAGAAGTGCGCATTTAATGTTGGTGTTTAGTTTTGAAGATAGATACAACGGGGTAAAATATTAATAAGAGCGTAGCTGTCGAGCGCTTAAGGCTCTTTAATGGTAACACATGCGTGCGTTAATAAAGTTGCTTCCCTTGCTAAACATTATTTGCCTTTTTTCCGTCCGGAAAAGTCGTCTAGTGGGAAAACCGGTAGCATACCCTTGAACCAAGGACACATATGTTTTAACACATACACCGACATCTACATTTACTGAAAAATTCTTCACAGTTTTTGATTACTGTTTTATTTAGATAAAATATCAAACGAAAAACGAAGTACATATATTAGTTTTCATTGTTCATAACTCTCTATTTATCAAATGTCCATCACACCCCGTGCTGTAAATTCTTCCTCCTGTTAAACCCGTGCTTTCTGGTATTTACGTTTCCACTAGTTCGTATACATAAGGAAAGACCAAGCACATGGTGTTGCTACTCATATTATCGACCTTTTGTCAGAGTCAGATATACATAGAGAATGCGAATTTTGTAGATTTGGGAGAGGAGGAGGAGGTTTGGTTTGGTTTTATCTTGTTTATCGTCCTATTTACAGCTAAGGTCATTAGAGGATGTGCATCCATGTGTGTGATGTATGCGTGCACGTGCGTATGTGTGCTGTAGTCAGGGTATGTTGGTGTTATTGCCTCGCTGTGATAGCGCGATTCGGATGCCGACTTTATAGTGCTATCTCGCTGAGATACCATGCCGAAGGCACCCAGCTCAGCATTCCGCCCGGTCACATTATATTGACAACGGGTGAACCAGTTGTTGCCATTACCCTTAATTCTCAACGTTACGCAGGGATTAGCAACTACCATTTTAAAGGACGTTCGTATGTCCCGGCCTGGGGACAACATTGCCTTTCTCACAAACTGGGCAAACGCTCAACATTACAGCCAAAAGAGAGGTATTGCTAAGCAAGACGATAGGGAATAAAAGGTAGTTAGAAATAGAAATAATTAGAAGGGTCCCGAATATTGAAATGGGTGCCGCAGATTTATAATGGGCACAAAAGCAAATCCTCAATACTGCAGGGACTCACACATTAGTCGCCTCTTACGATAAATGCAGTAGGTGACAGCAGGTGTATTCGTTTCTCCATCTCTGATCTATTGCTGAGTATGCATATATATAATTTCGGCTTCTTGTTCCGAAATGGAGAATCTCCAGAAAAAGTAAATGCAAGTTGAAAGGCAAGAATTAATTAAGTTCACGATAAAGCTTTATTCTTTATTTAATAGAGTTATACGTTCAGAAGATATTTCAGTTTACGGAGGACACCTAATAGTTTAACAACTTTTGTTTACATATATTGTCAATGTGATATTTCCGCTCACATATATCATTGATACATATTTTCAGTCATCTTAGTCAATACTTGTATTATTAAAGTTAATTTCCATGTGTGATTCAATTCAGTATCAGAAATAAGTAAAGCCTTTGTTTTTGGAGGATTAAATTTAACCAACCACTGCCAACAAATTTATATTTACGAGATCATTATTTATTGATTGTTTAATTACTTGTTGGGATAAAAGAGAAGTGTCATAGGAAAACCGTTTTGTTAGACTTTCTAAATTGTCTGTTATATCATTAATATAAAGTATAAATAATAAGGGGTTAAGAACCAATCCGAAGGGCTTATTTCCAATAAAAGTCTTGTTTAGATCTGTTACTTACATAATTCATTAACCAATCTTATAACTTTCCTGGTACTCCATAGCTAGCTTCTTTCACTTCCAGTCCTCTATGCCACACTCGATTAAATGCCTTAGAACTATCACACAGAACTATACAAGTGGGCTGCTTTTTTCAAGATTGTCACAAATATTATGGTATATTTTAATAGACTGGTGTACGATAGAATGACATGGCTGACAATCTGACTGATATTTACGTATAAGAGAATTATCTAAAAGGAAGCTATGTTATATTTAGTGACTAGTCTGTCAAAACCTTTAGCAATGGTGCTTAGACGTGCAATAGGTTAATTAATTTGAATAATCTTGTTTATCACTTTTTTTTAAAACATGACATCACTAGAGCATGTTTCCTTTGTCTGGGGAAAGAACTAGTTTCCAAAGAGGAACGAAAAATTAATAACAGAGGACAAGCTACTGTGTTACTAATGATATATTTTCCTACAGCTTTACCCATTTTTATAGTCTTAAGAAGGTCGATAAGAAGGTCGATAATGACATTAATATTAAAATGGGGAAAGGTTTTATATAAGTTGGACAAATTGTGCCCAACTATTTTTTCCTTATAACAAAAATTCTGTAAAAATATGTTAAAATCAAATTAATTAAAATGCATACCTGACATGTTGGAGTCAGTTCTGGAATCTATGACAAGTACGCCGATGTCAGTATCGTCAATAGTGGAAATAAAAACAAATTATTTAGTCGTTAAAGATTCATTTCTAGTCGCACTCCGTATACGTGGTATAATGTTAGATGTGTCAGTTGGTTTATTTAACCTACAGACAAGTTTCCAAAAGTTTCTAGGATTTGTTTTGCAAATATTATCTAAAAGGCAGTTTATGTCCGCATAAAGTTTATCTTGTCCTTTCAAAGTTTGTTAACATTGCTTTGCTGATTCCTAAAATTGTTAAAATTATTAGGAATGCGATTGGGTTTACATTTTTTTTTTTAAATCTGTTTCTTTTCCTTATTTCTCGTTTCATGTAGGAGTTGAACCAAGGTTTGCAATTATGCCTTATTGTAACTAATATTGTAGGAATACATAAGGTCTTATTGTAACTAATATTGTAGGAATACATAAGGTCTTATTGTAGCTAATGTTGTAGGAATACATAAGGTCTCATTATAACAAATGTTGTAGGAATACATAAGGTATTATTGTAACTAATGTTGTAGGAATACATAAGGCCTTATTGTAACTAATATTGTAGGAATACATAAGGTCTTATTATAACAAATGTTGTAGGAATACATAAGGTATTATTGTAACTAATGTTGTAGGAATACATAAGGTCTTATTATAACAAATGTTGTAGGAATACATAAGGGATTATTGTAACTAATGTTGTAGGAATACATAAGGTCTTATTATAACAAATGTTGTAGGAATACATAAGGTCTTATTGTAACTAATGTTGTAGGAATACATAAGGTCTTATTGTAACTAATGTTGTAGGAATACATAAGGTCTTATTGTAACTAATGTTGTAGGAATACATAAGGTCTTATTGTAACTAATGTTGTAGGAATACATAAGGTCTTATTGTAACTAATGTTGTAGGAATACATAAGGTCTTATTGTAACTAATGTTGTAGGAATACATAAGGTCTTATTGTAACTAATGTTGTAGGAATACATAAGGTCTTATTGTAACTAATGTTGTAGGAATACATAAGGTCTTATTGTAACTAATGTTGTAGGAATACATAAGGTCTTATTGTAACTAATGTTGTAGGAATACATAAGGTCTTATTGTAACTAATGTTGTAGGAATACATAAGGTCTTATTGTAACTAATGTTGTAGCAATACATAAGGTCTTATTGTAACTAATGTTGTAAAAATACATGTGGTCTTATTGTAACAAATGTTGTAGGTATACATTATGCCTTATTGTAACTAATTATGTAGGAATACATAAG